CATTTTTCTCGGCATTCTTTGACCTCTTTTCAGTTCTGCTGCATCTCTTAGCAATTACCCCCTGTCTTTCTCCTCTGGCTTCTGCTTGAGACTGTTGGGGGCAGACAGATGCTAACTGTGCTTTCTGGACAGACCGAATTGTAGGGCCAGACAGCTGTTGGCTCTCGTGGCAGCATTTCTGGAGGGTCCTGGGAGGTGCCCCTGCCCTGGCTGCGCCCTGCACCTCTGCGGACAGTGTCTATGGTGGTGGCTTTGTTTTTTAACACAACCGGAGCCATTGAGCCTCGGATTCCTCTTCTCTGACCTCTCCTCCGATTCCAAACAAATATCCCCACGCTCTAGAGACTCAGAAACTCATAGGAACCCAATTTTCTGGTGGCTTGTCTGGCACATGGGCTGTGCATGTGTAACACTGGAATCCAGGGTATGTCACCCTTGGCACTAGGACGCCTGGGCCAGATACGTCCCCGTTGGGAGGGAAGGGAAGGTCGTCTTGTGTGTTGGCTACTTAGCAGCATCCCCGCCTCTACCCTCTAGGTGTCAGGAATAGGGTTGTACTCCCCGCAGCAAGTTGCAACAACCAAAAATGTCTCCAGACTTTGCCAGATGCCCTCTGAGGGGCGCATTGTCCCTGGCTGAGAACCATCGTTTTAATCAGTTACTGGTTTTTCCAAGGGGGCTGGAGGGGGTGGGAGGGCAGATCTCAGTGGAGAGAAGACGATCCTTAGTTCCTTTCCAAAATCAGTCCCTGTAAACGCCCAAGGTGACACCTGCCACTCATCCACTTAGCCTTTATTGAGCGCCTCTTGTGTGCCATGCAGGGAGGACTGGGGCTCCTTCTTGATGAAATTTCCAGTTTTCGCCTTGGATTTGCATTTATTAGGAGGAAAGGCTCGGGCACCCTTGAAAGCTGATATTTCAGGTTTCCGGTTAAACTGTGGATGTCCAGCCGGCACCAGCTCTTACCCCCGTGGACCCTCTCAGCTGGGACTTTTAACCCACATGTTTTCTGACTGTCCGGCTTTTAGGTTGAGGTGCCGTAGGAGGCTGAGTTTTGACTGGATCTCAGGTCAGGCCGTTGGCCACGGCTTCCCAGGAAGTCTGGGTTAAGCCAGCTACACCGCCCAGCACGTCCTGCGGGCAGGGGTGAGCTTGGTGCTTGTCAAGACACAGAATAACTAATGGCTTTTGTGCACACACGCATACACAGGCACACACATGCGTGTGCACACACACCCATGCCAACACACACGCACACGTATGGGCTCACACACTCAGCTGCTACCCCTTTCTACCTTTCCGGCCAGCCTCTCTCGAGGTTGGGCATGGTTACAGCTTCTTCTGGGCGTGTGAGACAAATACAAAGGAAAAAAGTGCGCACACACACACACTTTCTCCCCTATAAGTTGTGCAAATGTATGCACTCTCCCTTTGAAAGAGAGGGAGGGAGATGGAGCTGTGTGTGAGGCTGCCTGGGAGAGGAGGCTGGTGGGGCGGGATGGCGGGGGCGGCTTAACTTCGGGACAAGGTGAGATGCACTTGAGCCCCAGTAACCCCAGAGCGGCCAGCTCAGGTGTGCCCAGGCACCACCTCCGCGTACCAGCCCCACCTCGTCTCAGGGTTTTTAAACGTCCATGGTTTGATCAATTGTTAAACCATAAGGAAGTGTTGGAGGGGAGAGCACGGGTAGGGGCCCCAAGCCAGAGGGCCCGCGTGGCCTTTTCTCCAGGTGTCATCACCCGGAGAGAAGTTGACAAGCAGCTTGGCACCTGGGGTCCCGCGCAAAGAGAAA